AGTAAACACGGCGAGATTATTCAAACGCAGTCGGGAATCCGCAATTTCATTAAACGACAAGTCTTAGAACTCAATCGGGTGTCTGAATAATGTTTGTCCACCGGTATCGATCAGCCGCGGGGTGTAACAGCTTACTCGATTCGACTACAGCATACCCAATTCCCGCGTTCGTTCCTGGCGTGCCTCGTAACCCGTAGGTTTCTTCCCTTAATTAAAATTTTTAACTCCGTCGAACACCTTATCTTGGCCATCGGTGACTTAATTAACTACGAGCTTGAGGTCCTCGAACCGTGTGTCGTCCGTGTGTAATTAACGTTGAATCTCTTTGTACGAAGAATCACGTCGATGGTGGATCATGGTGTCTTAATTGCACGACTCTGAATCTGTCTTCTTGTTTTTTTTTTTTTTTTTTTTTTTATATATGAAGGAGAAAGAGAAAACGTACTCCTCCTCTTCGAAGGAAATGTTTCGCGTTAATGTCCTGTGAATTTCCTCGCAGAAGAATTGACGGAAACGTTCCCGTATCAGCTGCTGGTTGGAACGGGAGTAGCGCTGATGGCTCTATTGCTGTTAGCCGCCGTGAGCTTCCAGTGCTCTTCTACCTGGCGATGGTTAATGAGGGTGAGACGGCACATGAAGGAAGAAGACGCCGAGAGCGACTTATCGCAGCAGAATGCTATACGCATCAGTCATTCCCTGCCGGATCTCCAATCAGAGCCAATCACTCACGAGTACGTTCAAGAGCAAAAGGATAGCAAAAAGGTACGAACGATAATGTGTATTTCAGTAGAAATCCAACTGTTTTCATCTCTCCTTTACGTACGTATGCAGTAGGTACATGGCGAAAAATTCTCGATAATTTAGGCTGTTGTTACTTTGCAAAAGAAAATTATATAAGCCAATCCACTTGGTCTCGTTCTGAAACTTCTACTTTGATTGGCCCTTCAGTTTGTAATAGTACCTTTATTCTGGAACACTGTCAAACTTCAAACATCTGTGAAGGTTATGAAAACATTTTTCTCGCAACTTGACGCGCCGTGGTCTTGAAAATTGAAAGTTTCTTTTTACAATCACTTAAAACTCGCTGCACGATTTCATTTTTACCATTATATTGAACCTTCAATATTAAGATCAGACGACGAAATTTTAGGATTTTTATCGTTTGGCCCTTGTGATGTTCAAAGTTCAATAGAGTAATGAAAACAAAAAAAAATCGTATAAGTTTTAAGGGATCTCTGTAAAGAGAAAACTTCGGTATTTCAAGTCGTAAAGGATTTTTTATATAAGTCGTTTTTTACATACGTGTGAACTTTCACAATTCCTTTAAAGAAAAGAAAACTTTTCCACTTGCTACGTGATATTAAAATCTTGAAGAAAGAAAGGAATTCAGCGCTGTCAAAATGGAAGCTTCACGTTTGAAAATGAGATCAAGTAGATCGTTATGCGATATTCTTTTTTAATGAAATTATAACAGTTTAAAGTATCGATAATTTTTCATTTGAATCGACTGTGGTGCAAAACTGACTCTACGAAAATGGTTCGCATTTGCCAGAATAGTGATAATGACAAGATTGTCCTACAAAACTACATATTTTCTGTTCTTTGTACTCTAAATATTATTTATGTCAAATTTTGTGCTCCATTCCAAAGTTCAGCAGCTTGAAAGTTTGCGGATGATTTTTCAACAACGAAGATTTATGACATACAAATCGAGCACTCCATAGGCATGGCAATCTTTTTCGTTCGATAAAAACACCAGAGACCGTAACAACGATGGAAAAAATTAATAGATAGACTTTTTTACAAATATCTCTTGAATAGTATTTCTCTTAGCATTCAACTTTCCTGTTCGTTTGATTAACATTAGAAGCATCAAAACTTAAAATTTACAATTTTTTCGGAATAGTTACAGCGTTTTTAAAAATTTGAATGATCCTTATAAAAACAGACGAAACAAAAGTTCGCGTTCTTTATAGTGTCATAAACTTTCGCTTGTACGGTGATTCCTCTGATAAAAATTTTTATACTACTCAGTCATCGGTGGTTTCCCGAGGAAAATAAAATTCAAAGGCTATTTAATTAGAACAATTCTTCTTCTGTTATTTATGAAAACAGTCCCGTGTCTAGTTTGTTTGCCGTGGAAGCATGGGGGAACGAAAGTTGGCAGCTAAGTAGCTAGCAAAGAGGAATAATAAACTGTTCCGTAAACTTTTGAATCATTGAGGCACGATGGACATATCGAGCTATGATTCTTTTATAGGTATTGCGCCAGACAACCTTGCCCATTGTGCCGATGAGACACCAGAGCTTCCAGAGGCAACTCTCCCATCGTCTCGATCTACCGATTAAGTTCAGCATCTGTAGCCTGGAGAATCGTAGCGATTCCAGTCTTGGTTTGATCAAGGTACTCTTGAACACCAATCAATCCTTCCTCTCTCTCTCTATTTTCGCAAACGTCAGATAAATATAAATATAAAATGTTGTACGATAACCTGCTGTTAATATTCAAACATTAAATATTGAAATTGCTGTAATTTTGTAAAAAGGATAGGAGTCGGCAATAAACCATTTTAAAGCTTGGTGCGATCACTTTCGAACTGCGTAGTTAACTTGTTTTTACATTTCTTCTCGAGGATATTATAAATTACCATCGCGTGTGAAAGCATCATTGAAAAATTCTGGATCTGAATCATGAATTTGAAGATCTATCGTGAATTGAAGTGCTATCGAAAATTTGATGGGTGATTGTTTCCCGCTGTTTTGTTAAAAATAAATTCTCAAACGTTACGCTTTAAATGGCGAGGGAAATTTTCGGGAAACTTTCGATATTGTATTCTAGCAGTATTCGCAGAATTGTGAACAGAATTGTTCAACGTTCTGCTTTTCGAGAATGAAAAGTGTCTTCACTTCCCTTCTCATCGTAGTGTGAAAATCGAGGTAGGCTGCGAACTTTCAGAAAGAACTCGAGCTCGTTATCGCTTTCTTTGATTTCTACAAAATTACGACAGTCTCGACGTTCATCGTTCGAATATCAACGAGAGCTACGGCTGCATATAAATAACAAGGGAGTAGAAAGGAACGAAAGACGATGCAACACGGTGGGTTAAACTTTTCTATCCGAAAGAGTTCGACCCGCCCGCCCACCGCGTCTAGACAATGAAACAAACTAGGGAATTCAGTTTATCGAAAGTTTCAAAGATGCGTCTCCGCACGTTTGCAGCCGGAACTTTACAAGAAGGAGGAGGACGCGGAGAGTTCCAGCACTACGGAAATGGAGTACGCTGGCAAGCTGCACTTCGCTCTGCGCTACGACAAGGAGATGGAGGGCCTTGTGGTTAAAGTGAGTTGCACGATTTTCTAAACGAAAAGCCTGCCGTGCTCCGTTAGTCATTCGCATGTATTATGAAAGCGATGGCCACTATAACTGGAGTTGTCATGTCGCGTACTGTTAGTACTGCGTGAGCTACGCTCGAAACGATTAGAAACATTAATCGTAATGTGTCGCGATGTAATACACCGAGCGAGCCAAGTGTATTACCGACACTCGGTGTATCGGCTGCATTAATTGGCACACATTTGCAAGGAGAGATATTAGAGCGATCGCAATTACTGACAGATCTCCTCCGCGTGATTAATTAATATTTGCAGCGGTCATTAATCACAGTCCAAGACCTCGAGGAATTTCTCTTCTTCGTTTCTTCGGCCCTCCTTCCTGTCTATCCTACGCCAGTCAGATCTGCTAATTTACTATTAGTGATATAGTAGAGACTCCAGAACAGACACCCCTTTCATGTGAAATTTTATTCATTTGGACGAACATTATGATTAATTGACTGATTTTTATTAAACGCTCTTCATGACTGCCGAGTCGCATAATTTATTTCAAAAAATTATTGCATGAATAATTGCGTAGGATTATTGTGATTCGATTTCTTTTTTTCTTTTTTCAGTAGCAATTACAATCAAACGTAAAAAATTGTTTTCTTCACCACAAATATCTAATTGTCGGACTCCATGACTTGGCTTTGAATTTCAATAATCATTGAAGATATCAGCACTCTCGGTACATTGCAAACTCTATTTTTGCAACGATGCAGTTAAAACACAGCGATGTCTACATTTTTATTTTACCTCAATGCTTTTCTATTATTGCCAGCCATTTCTGAGACATTTATGTGAACACCATGTATCTCTGCTAACTCTGTCGCACGCCACTTTCGAGCTTCTTAATTATATCGTACTCGGTTTTCCAATAGTTGCCATTGCTATGTATCTCGGACGCAAGTAATAATAAGCAATTTATTACTTATTCGGAAACGCTATATTCCTTTCTAATAAATTGAGATTGAAATTCACTCACTCGGATGAAGAACAGCGTACACTATTGTATACAAGTAAATGCTAATAATAAAATGTACATATTTGAAACGGGAAAAGGCATAATACAGTGTTTGAATGTTCGTATACAACAGACAGTTGCTATTGTGTCTACAGTTTCCTTAAAGACTGTAACCTCAATACATAAAATTTATATTCTAATTTCCTCCGTTATCTCAGTCGGTTCTACAGACGTAGTTGAAATAGACCTCAAATCAGGTTTTCAAAGTTTAAATAAAAAAAGCAAGAGTCTCTAACTGTAAGGGTCTCCAGTAACTAAAAGCAAATTCGAAAATTAAATGTCGCGTGGAAAGAAAGTGCCACGACTCGATCGCGAGCCACGATTACGTATCGAAAGCCGTTGCACGTGCCCGGAAGTCGCATCCTTATATCCTTTGTGCCGAGCAGAGGCGGCTGACCCAAGCAACTTCTTCCCAACGCCATGCACGTACCTCGCGAAATCAACGTAGAACAGAGGGAATTCTTCCCACGGATGGAAAGGATGGCCGACATTCGCGCTCCAGTTTTGCCTCGAAAAAAAAAAATCATATCATTCTCGATTTAGGATACGTCCGATCGCGTGCAGCGGCGCGTTCGATAAAGAATCTTTCTGGATAAATCGAGGAAATAACACGGGGCGAGCCGAGGCGATCCAATCGAATTGAAATTAATTCCGGTAATTCATCGTCACGCGAAACCACCTCGTGTCCTTCGTTCGATAGATGATTTACGCTCCGAAGAATAATCACCCCTCTGCGCGATAATTCGTAGTCGCATCTACCAGTTAGGTTAACCCAAGAACTCGTTCCCAAGCGGAGAATTCTCCGATAGATATATCGATTATAGGGCTTGATCGGATGTTCGTTGATTATATTATCAGTGGTTAGTGATATTACGAACATTACTTGTTATTAAGCAGCTTGAACTTGAACTATCCTTAGAGACTTATACTTGAAAATCAAGAGGAGAACCTGATTCTACCTTGATCTTTATAACATGTACTATATATAGTGAAAAACATAACTGTGAAACATTGTCGATAATTCAGATTAATGCAATTTTATAAAAATAACAGATTCTATAAAAATAAATCTATAAAAACAAATCTATAAAATCTATAGAATTCTATAAATAACAGATTTTATAAAAATAACAAATGCACCATGATGAGAGGATACTTTCCTCTCGAGAATTGCCGAAATTCGAAAAGTATGTAAAATAAGAATTTTTTTTTCACAACTAGATCCGTCATCATTTTGAAGATTGAGGTTTCTTTTTTACAACGATCCCTTGAAACTTGTTTTCCCCAACGATAGTGTTAAACAAAAATTCAACGTTCGTCATTTAATTCCAAGTTTAATAAAAGAGTAAAAAAAAAAAAAAAAAAAATGAACCGCACGACTAAAGTCATAGTGAAATTTAGTCGTGAAAAAAATTTGTTAATGCTTCGAAACGCGTTTGAATTTCGACGATTTTTAGAGAGGAAAATATTCTCACATCTCCACTCGCTACGTGGATATAGAATCATCTTCGAAATGAACAAACTCACGACTGTCAAAGTAGAAGCTTCACGCGTCAAAATGACACCAAATATATTGTTGTATGATCCCTTTTTACGAAGCTACGTCAGCTGAAATTATTCATTTATATTCATTTATACTCATTGTCACTGGCACAGTTATGCTCTTCACTGTAAATCCCCGGGGGTGGCTGCTAAAAACCAGAAGCACAAGCAATATCACTATTATTGAAAAGCTTGAAACTCTGAAAGTATGACAGTGACGTTGCATTGTTAAATTATTCCCGTTAATCCTTCGTTAACCCACCGGTTATTTGAACCACCATTGTGACGAACGGTGAATATAGAACGATCGTCATTGTCGAGACACCGATTGCAATAATTTCTATTCCAACCATCGCTTGCCAGTACGGCAGGCATTTTCGTAATGCTTTACGCGCGCGTAGGCAAACTCGACTGGCTCAATTACGCATGAACGAGCTAATTACACGATCGCCGTATTTAGCGCGAGCTATTGGATAACGATAACAAAGTGTTCACGTGGTAATACCGATACTGTCGTCGTTGAGTCGTCGATTGACTAACACAGAACGTGTGGTGTGGACGCGTTCGCGCTCTGGAATGGGATTGAAGGCACATCGAAGGTGATTGAATTCGTTCTAAACAGGGCGGAACCCACGTTCCGTGGCACAGAAATGTAAACGCGGCTGGACGTATGCACGCCACGTAATCGGGCTTATTCATAAATCTAGTCGAGGATCTGGCACAATATAAAGAGAACGCCGACAAAACCCACGGAGGCCTGAATTTCTTCTTTTTCTTTTTCGCCCACCCCCTTGCGCGATTATGATAATATTCCGGGTTAAACGGCGTCAAGTTGAATAGGACCTAAATTGAGAATAATATTCCATTATATTTATCGCGAAGGGGAATCAAGAAATTTACTTTACCTGCTGAACCTTCGTTTTTTACAGACAATTCGTACAATGTTTAATAATAATCGCGTTGATAAATTCTTCTCGAATTTTCGTGATATGTGCAGAGATAACAGCACTTGCTTGCCGAAATTTTTATTCCACGCACAACCGACATCAATCTCGGACATTTCCATACACACAATACACTTTCCCCTCGGTCGGATCGGCTCCGTAGTTTTCCGCATACGGAGCAGCTTCGCGATTCCAGACGGATGGAACGGACGACCGATCTCCCAATATTAATCTCACGTAAATTTCGTCTATACACGACTCGTCCTCGATACGTACATTTACGTCCGAAAACTCAATTCTCCGTTGCGAATTAAATTCTTGCGATCGGTAGAAATCAGATTGGAAATCGCATTACGCCCGTGAAAAGCGACGAAATATTTGCGCACGCCTATACTTCTTCAACGAGACATTTTCTTAATCCTTTCGGTGGCGATCGAACGATATCGAGTCAAGTTGATGTAGCTTAGATAAGGTTTGAGAGAAGATAAATGAAAAATGATTATTACAAAGTTCAAAAAGGGACGTATTATAAAGGGTGAATAAATTAACTTATATTGTTCGGCACTATAATGGTTAAATTAAATCCACATATTCTTTCAATACGTTACTAACAGCTATGCACATGGCAAAGCAAAGAACGTCTGGAAATGCAATTGGAACAGTGCGAAAATATAATATCTTTCTTCTAGATTCTAGAAGCCCGAGAGTTGCCAGTGAAGGATGTGACAGGTAGCAGCGATCCGTACGTCAAAGTGTATCTTTTACCAGATCGGAAAAAGAAGTACCAAACGAAAGTGCATCGGAAGAACCTGAACCCCGTGTTCAACGAGACGTTCATATTCAGGTTAGCGCATGTTACTAAGCAAATTTTCAAAACAATTATGTCGAAAAACAAAATTTCATAGATTATTCTGTAGATATTTGTGAACCAGAGTTGGGCAAAAATGATTAACGATTGTGATTAATATAAAATCAGGGCATCAAATCGTGAGTAATAGTGCATATGTATGATATCTTGTAGATATTACATATTTGCATTGTTTTGCAATTTTATATCAAGTATATATGCAATATATCAATAATACATGCAATTTTACATTAATCGTGAGTAATAGTGCATATATATGATATTTTAGAAATTGCATATTTGCAATTTTAATTCCTACAATTTTATCGGAACTTGTCCCCAAATATCTGAAAAATTGTCCGTCAATTGAAAGTCTTATCCATATATGAATCTCATTGGCACAATAATAATCTGATTTTTAATGATGAACATGCCGAATGATCGAAATTATCAGAAATTATTAGAAATTTAACAACACAGATACTAAGATACTAAAATATTAAGAAATAACACATTGAACATGGTAAAGAGATATAAATTCGAAAATTATTTATCACTCAACGATTTAAAAATGATCGGTCAAAGATTACAAATTGCAAAATTTAATCAAGATTATCGATTTAATTCAAAAAATAATCAATGATCACGATTACTACGATTATATTTAATAATTGAAAGTCTTATCTATATATGAATCTCATTGGTACAATAATAATCTGATTTTTAATGATGGACATGCCGAATGATCGAAATTTTGAAATTCTTTTGTGACGCGGTCATTCTTTATATTATCAGAAATTATTAGAAATTTAACAACACAGATACTAAGATACTAAGGAATAACACATTGAACATGGTAAAGGGATATAAATTCAAAAATTATTTATCACTAAACGATTTAAAAATTACAAAATTTAATCAAGATTATCGATTTAATATAATCAATGATTACTACGATTATATTTAATAATTGAAAGTCTTATCTATATATGAATCTC